AGAGTTGGAATTTCATTTATTTCAGCTGATCAGGCTTGTGATAATGCTGAAAGTGAAATACCTGATTGGGATTTTGATATTGTAAAACAAAAAGCTGTTGATGCTTGGGATAATGAATTGAGTAAAATTAAGGTTGAAAGTGATGATGAAAATCTTAAAAAGATATTTTATAGTAGTTTATATCGAACTATGATAATTCCAAGTGACAGGTTCGTTGATTATTAACACGAATTTTTCATGAATATTTAATGGATAATTATTCATGAATGTTTCATGAATTTTTATTCATAATGTAATCTATTATATACGTAGAACCGATGAAAATCCAATGTGGAAATCATTTGATAAGAATGGTAAACTTGTACCATATTATGAAGATTTTTATACTTTGGTATGCTTGCTTTCGTTTTTGCCTTAAAAATTATAAAATAATGCTAATTTATAAATATGATCAATAGTGGGATACGTTCAGGTAATTTCAAATTACTATGATTAAAACTATTTATGTTATTTACGTATAATAAGCATAAAACTAATAAATTAATATATAGGACAACAAACCCATTATTTACACTCTTCCAATCGAAACGTGCTGTAGATATTGCTAGATCATTAATTGACATTTATGAGAATGTAGGTTATATGCCTGATGGAAGAAGTGGTTCATCGAATGGAATTACACAAGGTGGTTCTAATGCTGATATGGTTATTGTAAGTACATAATTTCATTTCATTCAATTAATTTGCATGAATTTTCTTAATAGATTCACACTACTTTCGTTAATAATAGGCCGAAACATACTTAAAACAAATAGATGTAAATGGTAAAATAGACTGGAACATAGCTTATGAAGCCTTGCTTAAAGATGCAGAAGTAGATCCATGGGAAGAAGGTTTGTTCCAAGGTCGATTACACTTAACCGATTATAAAAAATATGGTTATATTCCTTCACCTTATGATCGCAAACTCGGATATGTTGACACTCCGTGTAGTAGGACTTTAGAATATAGTGCTAATGATTATAGCATTAGTCTTGTTGCTAAAGGTATCTTAAGTCTATTTATTATTAATGCATAATGATAAATGATTGATTTAAATATTTATACAATTTAATTTAATTTCAAAGGATTAGGCAAAATCGATGATTATATAAAATATAAAAATCGAGCGACTAGCTGGGAAAATCTTTGGTGTCCTGATATAACTTATGATGGTGAATATTCATCACCTTTATAATTTCTCTTAAGTTTCTGGTGAAATAAATTTAGATTTAACACTTTCACTCTTATAATTAATGATAAAAAGGAGCGGAGGGATTCATAATACCAAGATTTATAAACGGTACATTCGATACACAATGGGCAACTGGTGATAAATTAGTAAAGGAATTTTATTCATTTTATGAAAGCACCTCATGGGAGTATAGTTTGGATGTACCTTTTGGTGCGTATATAATTTTTTAGAGCCAATTAAAAATTTGAAATATAACTTACTTTTTATATTAATCATTAATAAATAAGATGTGAAAAGGCTAATACAGTTGTCGGGAGGTCCAGAACGTTTCGAAGAACGACTTGACAAAACATTTGCAGATAAATCATTTTTAGGAGGTTATTATAGTATAGGAAATGAACCTAGTTTTTTTCATCCGTGTTTATATCATTTTATTGGAAAACAATATAAAAGCGTGGACGTGATTAGAACTATTATGAAAACCAAATTTGGAGTTGGACAAGATGGGATTCCAGGTTTGTAGAATTAATAATGAAAAGAATGATATTAACTAAATTTGCATTAAATATTATCACTCTTGTTTTGCATACTCATGTTTTATGTAAATTTAATCATGTAAAATATATTTATAAAATATGAAATCTTATTTTATAGGAAATGATGATTCTGGAGCTATGGGAAGTTGGTATGCTTTTAATGCTATTGGAATATTTCCATTGTAGGTGGTTTTATTTTATTAACATAAATTGAAACTTTGGATATTAAGAAAATATTAGATTTATAAAATACGCAATAATACTAATTATTTTGATTTTATAATTATAGAGGTGGAACTGATATATACTTAATAAACTCACCGTGTTTTGATAAGGTCACCATATACCTATCAATGTCACCATTAAAAACATTTACAATTATGGCTCATAATTTAACGGACAATAATATATATATTCAAAATGTTAAAATCAATAATAAAGAATGGAAAAAAACTTGGTTTAGGCATAAAGACATTTCTGGTGGTGCAGTAATGGAAATACAGATGGGGCCTGAACCAAGTAAGATTTGGAGCGTTATTGGGAAAGATGAAGATAATAAAGAAATAGAAGATAGGGTGGCCCCTCCTAGCATGAGCGATTATATGAATAAATAAAATTTCACGAACAATTAAAATAGGTAAATTAAAATTTTTTTAGAAATTCTAATGAAATGAATATGCATAATTTTATGAATACTCATTTGCCTTATGGATTTACAGATTTATTAATTTAATTGTTCTAGAATATTAGAATTTTTTCTGCTAACATATTTGAGAGTTCGAACATTAGCATTAGTAATAACATCGATTTTTTTTTCGGTTATTGATTGACATTTTTTAAAAAAATTTCATCGATTTAAATTTATCAAAAACATTTTATAATCATTACGTTCACAAAATTACAATTTTATTAAAATCTTTTATTCTTAATTTTGTGTTCATAAAAAAAACCAAGTTCATTAAAAACAAAAAATTCATACATAAGTTATATATCGTCTTTATACACGTGAAATAAAAAACTTCAAATATTACTATATAATTTTATTGTCTTAACGTTTACTAAAACAATGCTAGTTATTGTTGAAAATTTTTTGAAGGTTTATTGTAAAAGAATATAGATGGTGATACATATGATTATGTTATCTGCATCAATAACTAGTAACACGTAAATTTAAGAACAAATACACGACATTGATACATTAAGGTTTTAATAGTGCAAAATAATATTTTTTTATATTAACAACTAATCAAAATATTTATTATTTAGAATTTATTATGCTAAAATTTACTTTTTTAAACGTTATAATTAATTCGATGTAAAATTCAAGAAATATATTTATTTTTCAACTATATTATAAAAAAAAAAAGTTTATTTTTGTATTGCTTTTTTTTTATTAAAGCATCCACTGCAGAGTGTACATGTGCGTTGTAAATGCTTCGAAAAAATGATGTTTTATTATTGTTTTCAAAAAAAACTATTGTTATGTAAGGAATGTTTCAAAAACGCCATACCCATTAATGATATTGTTTCCAAGTAAAGAATGTACCACGTTCAACAAATTTTATTATTGTGTTATATGCTACATAAATCCGAAAATAGGTCACCCAATTTTTAAAACCTAAATTCATCAAGAATTTTAGTTTGAATAAACTTTTTACATAAACCTAAAATCTAAAACCTAAAATCATTAGTTTAAAGAAACCTTTTAAACCCTAAAATTCATCAAGAATCTTAGTATTTCAGATTTCTTTATTATCACCATAGGTAGGTATAACGTTTTTTAATCTAAAATAACGATACCATATAAATGTACTTCCAAGCGCAATTAGTATAATCGCCCCAATTATAACTCCAATAATTAAACCGATATTAGCTTTTTCTGAATTACCACTAGATATAGGTGTACTGGTTTGTGAAACAGTTGTATTAGATTGCAGAGGTGTTATTGCTATTTTAGGGTCAAAATTCGTAATCCATTTATAGTCAGATTTGTTTCTTGCGTCTAAAACATATACGTTACTAGTTGAAATCCCGGTTCCTCCGGACATTATTTGACCAAAGGCTACAATTAAATAATATCCTACTAATGTTACGATTTGATATCTACTTAATGGTGGCGGAGTTGTAGATATAGATGGTTGAGACCAACTGAAATCTCCTATGTCTAATACAACGAGATCATCATCTACTGGTAAACCTAATAGATTTGAAGCTCCACCATTTACTCCACCGTAAACTATAACGCGGCCATCGTCGGCTAAATAATACAAATTCACAAAGTTTGGCATCTGTTAATAATGACTTCTATAATATAAAAAAAAATAATTATATATGCTAATAATTACTTAATACGGCTTGAGCACTTCCACGAGGAGTTGGATTATAGCCTTTTGTGTTCTGAATAACAACATATAAAGTTTAAAAACATTTCCTTTTTTCTTTTTACCAAAAAAAAAAAAAAAAAGCTTACCTTTGTTGTCCAGGTGTCAGTATTTGTATCATAAGCATAAAGCTATAATTTTTTTTAAAAAAAAAGTTATTAAGACTATTCACATTATTACGATACCATGTAATTAATGTAATAACCTCTGTCATGCTTGGATTAATGTATCCTCCATTGTTCGGAGTTCTACCACCAATATAAAGAATTAATCCAGATGGTAATAATACGACTGCTTGATCGTCACGTCCAGCTGGAGCATTTAATGAACTTCCTTTAGACCATTGATAGTTCGTGGGGTTTAATATATTCATATCAAGCGGATAATTCGCAGAATTTGCATCGCTAGTTGTAGTTGTAGTACTACTATTAAATCTTCCACCAAAAACGTAAATCTTTCCCGTTTTAGGGTTATAAATTGAAGAGGCAGATATTCTATTTGCTGGTGGATTTATCGTCAATGTTTGATTCCAAGTTTGCTTTTTCGTGTCAAAAACATAAAATATAAGATTGGATTTGTTAAAATTGTCATTTCCGTATAAACCACCGATTAGAAAAATCCTATTATCCACAAGGGTTGCCGTAGTAAAAGAACATGGCGGGAGTGTCTGCGACAATTGAGTAAGATTTACCCAGGGCAACGATGAATCGCTTGTTTTAAATGGTTTGCTAATTGTTTTTTTTTTCAAAAATGAATTACTAATTGTTTGAGTCACATCTAAAATAGATTTTAACAAATTGCTGTTAAAGAAAGTTTTAAGTACCTCACATCTAAATAAACCATTTGGTTAGCAAAACCTGCAATATAGTATATTGTGGAATTCATTAGGACTGCAGAAATTCCAACATCTGAAGATGGAGTAAATGCTAGTGAATTCCTTATTATGAATTTACTAAGAACTAACAAGCAAAGAATGTATAAGATTTTCAAATTCATTTTATATAATATATAATGGTTTAAAAATGAAGCTATAAGAAAAAAATTAATATATTTGGACGAAATACTTTAAACGATTAGAAGTCAAATGATTCATAATGGTAAATTGAATCCTTTATATAACTTCATAGAATTTCATAGGTGAACTTTTACTATGCTGTGAAATGCCAAATATGTATATATTACGCATATTGTTCTCAATTGTGATATATATTGTCTCATAAAGTTATAAAGGTTTTGTAGTTTCAAAATTTGGCCATTCAACTTAAATGTAGTTAACAAGTTAATTAGTTGAATCAATCTTATTTAGAAAAAATCAGCAGGTATTTTTATCTTTACGTAATATTAATTCCTTTGTTTTAACTTAAGAAAGAAATTTGATGAGTTAGTGTAACAATTAGTCTTTATGAATTTTTCTCTGTTTTGTGATATACAATGCAAAATCTCATTTAATAATAGTATGTACGTACATCTAGTCTATTAGTGCTACTTGATCTATTTATGCTCTCGTGAAACAGATTGATTGGAAAAACATAAATTATATAATAGTATAAGATAAACTACTAAAATTAGGGTCAGAATTAGGTTTAAAGTAAGGAAAATTAGAGTTTATATAAGATGCTTATTTGCGGATGATATGAGCTGTCTGTGAATTAAACTGTCGGTAAAGTAAACTTGTCTGTGAATTTGTTGTCTGTAAAATAAACTTGTAAGTGGATTAATTGTCTGTGAATTAAGGTGCGATGAAATGATTGTCGATGAAGTGATACGGAAACTACTTTTCAACATCATACTAACCTACATGACTTTAAATCACAGATTCACTCATTCTTAAAATCGCAAATCTGCGCTACAAAAATATTAATAAATTCATCTAAAACAGTGTCATTTCTGAAATTATGGACTACTCATGTTGAAATTTCGAACACATGGAACTTCAATTACTATAAATATTGGCAAAATGTTAGTAAATAACGTGAGTTGTATGTTCTACGCAAGAGAATAGTAGCGCAATTGAAGGGAAATGTCTTTAATCGGGCTTGGAGTATTTAAGAGATTTTGTTGACGCAAGGGAAGACTGTCTTTCGCTATTGTTTGTCTTATAATGAAGATTGGACTCTTTCGTTAAATAGCATAAAAGTAAATAGTATAATAAACATTAGATAGTGGGTAGTAGTTAGATAGGGACAGGCCCTGTGGTTGTAAGAATTTCATTTTTGGTTTCTTTTTTTTTTTTTTTTGTTTTGCTGCTATGGCTGTGCGAGAAATATTATAAATTTATAGCATTCCACGATAATTATATTACTGAATCAGAAATAATAAGCTGCAATTATTCACATGACCCAATTTATCCAATCAATAAGTATTATATCGGTATTACTTTAATTATCTAAGCCTGCAAAAATGATAGACCTTCGTGTGAAAAAGTCCAAATACATAGATCTAATCGAGTTGTAAGTGGAAACGAAATTTTGGTGGATTTGAAATTTCTTAGGGTTTCTAGAGTTAATGTGTAGATTTATATGAAATAAATTTAACCCAAAATTGTATTGTATTAAAAAATTTCAAAATCCGTTTCCATTATATCATATATTGTTAGCCGTGAAATCATGATCCTAGAAGCACGTGGAAGGAGGTGACTTATGTGGCGCAGCAATGATCTATCGGATTAACTGCAACAAAATTGTCCCATGAGTTAGATTTAAGGTATTATATAGTAAAGTTGCCCAGAGAATTTTTTCGTTAGAACATGAAAATAAAATTTTTGAGTTAGAAGAGAATTTTTGAAAACGAACGTTTTGGGTGATTTGTTATTGGATAATTTCACGTGATCGAAAAATTTGTTGGCGATCCTGTGTAGTTGTGTCCGGAGACTTTCCCAAATATTATTTGTTATTTTTGCTAAAAGCACGTGAAATTTGACCAGCATTAGGATTAGGGTTAGGGATGGGTTAATAAACGTCATATAGTAAAATTTGGCCAAGAATTTTTTTACGTTACATAAAAATTGCACCTGATCTTGGAAAAATTTCAATCGGATTTGGTACGATCTACCTTTTACATAACAAGTTTTGGCAATAATACAGAACTACAATGAATGTAGTAGGCTATGTTGCACGTAGATGATACACGTAATGTGTGTATGATAACCGGTCACTTCGCAAGGTTCTTAGTAATTGTGTAGCAAAGGTAGTACGAAATTGTAATAAATGCTCTATAATACAAATTTCATTTAATTTACAACATTCGTTCTTTGGAACTTTTAAATAAAATTATGGATAAGAAAATAAAATTTTTTATCCTTTCATTTTTCATATCAATTCAATTCCTAGTAATATTATACTATATTCCTATTGGTAGAGAATCTTCATACATATCACTGGAACTTAATGTTGATAAAGAAAATGGTAAAATTAAAATTAAATTTCATATAATGATTTATCTCAAAATGTGAAATTTTATCAAAAATTATATTTTTTAAGAACTAATACAAAATTATTATCGAGCCAATGTTACTGGATTTGTCGATCCTCTTATTGGAACGGCTAACGGTAAGATTATTTTTACTTCATCAGAATTAAATCACTAAACTTTTTAAATGATAGACGGACATGTGTTCCCCGGTCCTTGTCTCCCTTTCGGAGTTGTTAAAGTAGGGTTCGATACTGAAGGTTTGGATTCTAACTCAGGGTAAGAATAAACATTTATCTCATAGGGGGAGGCTTCTCTGATTGATCTTAATTATACAGTTCAAAGTAGATAGAAAGTTTTATTGGAGCTATAGGGTTTCACTATAAATACTGGTCGGAATCAAAAAATCTGACATGCCGAATACTGTCATTCGATATGCCATTCAACACGCCATTTGCAAAACATATCAAATGTTTGGTCGAATTCTGGTCAAATGACAATATTGAATGGCAGTCAAACGATGCTATTCAACATGTCAAAATTTTTTAATTTCGACTAGTGAAAAAAAGATTTTACACCTTATTTTTTTAAAAAATTAAGTATAGTGATAACTTTATAAAATCTGATGTAAATTTACTAATAACAGATCTTTTTTTAGCAGTGAATTTTTGCAACTAAAAATATAATAATTTCATCTCTATTTGTGAAATTGGCGTTGAATTGATAAAATTAATTTCACCGATATTTCTAATAAAACTTTTTATATAAATTGTATAATTAATGTAAAATTAAATAGAAATTAGTAACCAGTCAGATGAACTTTCTATGTACAATTATGAATCATAAACAAATTTACAGGTACACAGTCGCTGGACATATTACCGGAATATCTCGTGAGTATTTTGTAAATAAATTACTTACTATGTTTTGCTAAAACTTATACATCGAAATTTTTTATGTTAATACAGACCTACATGTTAGTGGAACGGGAGGTAATAATTTTAACAGTACTCTAATCACATATTAACTATGTGAATGCTATTGATCACCATCATTCGAATAATCAGGTGAGCCAAAATATGGAGTGATAAGTCAATTTCCGGTGGTGGATAAGCCAGATAAAAATATTAGTATAAATGACTACTCTTCACAAAGATCGTTTGAATATTTCGAAGTTGGTTATTCAAAATTTGGATTAAAACGTTATAATATCATGGTTGAATTAACTGCAAGTCGTAGAGTT